AWWAMYTTWAAAAATAATGTTTTGCTGGCCAGATTAAATGTTAACATGGGTCAAATTTGGCCCATGGGCCGGGAGTTTGAGTATGTACTATAACTGTTTATACTTGTTGAAATGAAGCATGCTCCCACATGCTTCCAATATCTGTTGCAATAATAAAGTCTAAATTATGTTACAATCCCTAAGAGCAGTCTTTATTTGGTCATGATGATAAAATTGAGAGGTGCTAACATAATTTAACACTACATCCCAAACACAATCAATGAAAGATTTTCCAAAATACTGCTAGACTGATCAAAAGGTCTTGCAGTGATTTTGAAAGAACGAATTGCATCAACGTGTATCGATGTGTACAGATTTCTGCGTCGCTTCCAGGTATCGATTATTGATGAAGGCCTGCTKAAGTTCTCCAGACTGGAGGAACTGGTGCTGAGCACTAACGTAATCTCAGAAATCCCTGCGGAGAATCTTCCCAGCTCCCTGAAGGTGAGCCGTCGAGCTGCATCCGAGTGATGCAACACTTTCTGCAGTTTATCAGCTCAGAGGAGGTGTGTGCTGTTTCAACATGTTAGCGAAGACTCACCTGCAGCTAATCACTCAGAGCAGGAAGCTATTAAGTTTCTTCCTTGTAATTCAGATAAAGGTGAAATGCCTGACTGTGACGTTGTGTAATGGGAAGCTGTGCAGCAAAACGACATCTGAAACTGTTATGAAATTGCCACTTTTCTAGGTTTTGGACGTACGTGCAAACCGATTATCTTCTCTAAACGGTCTCACGAGGCATCCACCTCCCCAGCTGCAGTATCTCGGCCTTGGCTCAAACTGTCTAGGTTCCCATAAAGACATATCTCATCTTACAGGAAGACACTGGTTAGTTCACACAAATGCACACACCGGAAGCTGTTGGGTTGTTAAAGAGGTTCAGTAACCCAAAATCAGGTCAAATGAAAGCTCAGTGACAGTTGTTGGTTTTTATAGTTGGCTTTGTAGTTAGTTGTAGGATGTATGGTCACACGGTGGTACCTCATTGTGCCAAGATGCTTCTCTGTAGGGTTTTCTGATTTGACACAGCAGTTTTCAGTGTGGGGACGCCCACAGGCACACTAAGTCCTCCATCTGTGGTGAGAGCAGAAGATGCTGCAAAAGAACACCTTTTGATCCCACATAAAACACACATACATTTATGTGGTTTAGGTGCCAGTACAGAGTTCAGGTTTACTCTAAACCTCAGCATATTGTTTACTGATATTACAAATGAAGCACMGGCTTATAATGGTGATTAGCACTTAACTTACTACTTACTGAGCTCAAGTTGTTTGTCAAAGGATAACAATTTAACAAAAAGGGGCCAAAACAAGTCAATTGTATTGCATTTTATTGTTTCACACTGAAACACATTTTGCCATGTCATATAAAATATAATTTTGTGTTAAATAAATTTATTGGTCATTTACTTACTGATTCTAAAAGCACAACACCATTTCATAGTTTTCCTTATTTAAGTACTGGTTTCTGTATTATACTGAGTGACTATATTGTTATGCCTTGATTAAAATAGTTTTAGCTACCGTTTAATTAAACAAAAAGAAAGTGATTGTGTCTTAGTATCTGTTTCAGTAACAGGAATGTGGTGGGTGGAAGCGGATGCTGAAGAAAATGATAAAACTGGTTGGATTTCCGGATGTCGCTCTGAGCGTTGCTAACTTTGCAAACTGGAAGCATTAAAGCTCCGCTCAGAACCAGTACTAGTTTGTTGTATGGTCTATTCTCTTCATATTTTAATCAATTCAACATTCATGTGGTTTATGCCTGGTTAAGACACGATTTCAGTAAAAGAACACAAATTTTCTTACAGTTTTATATCGTATCGTATCGTATCATATCATATATACTATGTATAAATGTAAATCCCTTCAGACATTTTAATGAGCCTCAAAAATCCATAATTAAAACAAAATCCATATTAACCTCACATGTGTATGGAGRTGGAGGAGGGGGTGGGGGTGGGATGAAAGCATCTGCAGCGCAAAGCAGGAGGAAATGAGGATGGGAGAACTTATTTATAGTGGCAGAGCAGTTATCTGATGTTAATTATTGTTTTTTTTAATGTCCTACAGGCTCTGACATGTTAAGTAAATTTGAAACTAAGTTTTTGAAAAAAATTGTAAAACGAAAAAAAATCCAGGATTTCTCTATATGTCTCTATACCTACAAAATGAGGGAAAATCTGTGTAAATTACAGACAATCCTTACAACTTGACATGTGATCATGTCATGTCATGTCATGTCATATCATATCATATCATATCATATCATATCATATCAATCATATCATATCATATCATATCATATCATATCATATCATATATCATGCATTGTATCATATTGTCTCATAGCATCTCATATCGTATCGCATTGTATCATATTGTATCACATCATACATTGTGTTCTATCATGTTGCATTGTATCATATCATATCCTAATGTATTATGCTAAGTCCATTTTTACTGTTTAGTTTAATATATATAGCTTATCATATTATATCATTATATACTGTATCACATCACATTTATTGTATGTTTTTGTTTTGTATTATTTCTTGTAATATACAGTGGGGTGTGAAAGTTTGGGCAGCCTTGTTAATTTTTCTGATTTACCTTTATAAATCATTGATTGTTTGGATAAAAAATATCAGTTAAATATGTCATATAGGGGACAAACACAGTGACATTTGAGAAGTGAAATTAAGTTCATATGATACTGTATATAGAAAGTGTATAACTGGTTAAACAAAATTAGGCAGGTGCATAAGTTTGGGCACAAAAAAAAACCTCAACTCAATATTTAGTAGATCCTCCTTTTGCAGAAATAACAGCCTATAAACACTTCCTATGGCTTCTGATGAGAGTCTGGATTGTGGCTGAAGGTATTTTAGACCATTCTTCTTTACAAAACATCTCTAGTTCATTCAGGTTTGATGGTTTGTGAGAATGGACAGCTCTCTTTAAGTGACACCACAGATTTTCAACAATATTCAGGTCTGGGGACTGAGACGTCCGTTCCAGAACGTTGTACTTGTTCCTCTACATGAATGTCTTAGTAGATTTTGAGTAGAGTTTAGGGTGGTTGTCTTGTTGGAAGATGCAGCCCCAGCTTCAGCAGCTTCAGCTTTGTCACTGATTCCTGGATACTGGTCTCCAGAACCTGCTGATATTGATTCGAATCCATGCGTCCCTCAACTTTAACAAATATTCCCAGTCCCTGTACTGGCCACACAGCCCCACAGCATCACAGCCCCACAGCATGATGGAACCACCCCCACATTTTACTGTAGGTAGCAGCAGGTGTTTTTCTTGGAGTGCTGTGTTCTTTATCCTCCATGCATAACAGCGCTTGTTGTGTCCAAATAACTATATTTTAGTTTCATCAGTCCACAGCACCTTATTCCAAAATAAAGCTGGCTTGTCCAAATGTGCTTTAGCACACCTCAAGCAGCTCTGTTTGTGATGTTGGGGGAGAAAAGGCTTCCTCTGCATCACTCTCCCATACAGCATCTCCTTGTGTAAAGTGCTGAATAGTTRAACGATGCACARYGACTCCATCAGCAGCAAGATGATGTTGTAGGTCTTTGGTGCTGGTCTGAGGGTTGACTCTGACTGTTCTCAACATCCTTCACTTCTGTTTATTCCAGATTTTTCTTGGTCTGCCACTTCAATCCTTGACTTGAACTGTGCCTGTGGTCCTCCATTTTCTCACAATGTTTCTCACAGTGGAGACTGAAAGCTGAAATCTCTGAGACAGCTTTCTGTATCCTTCCCCTAAACCATGACGGTGAATAATCTTTGTTTTCAGCTCATTTGAAAGTTGTTTTCAGACTCTCATGCTGCGACTCTTCAGAGAAGATGCAAAGAGGAGAAAAACTTACAATTGCCCCCCTTAAATACCCTTTCTCACAATTGGAGTCACCTGTGTGTGGAGGTCACTGAACTTACCAAACTAAATTTGAGTTACAATAATTAGTTCTAAAGGTTTTTAAATCAATAAAATGCCAACAGTGCCCAAATTTATGCACCTGTTTAATTTTGTTTAACCAATTATTGCACACTTTCTGTAAATCATATAAACTTCATTTCAATTCTCAAATATCACTGTGTTTGTCCCCTATATGATATACTGTATTTAACTAATTGTTTTCATCCAAACAACAGATTTATAAAGGTAAATCAGGAAAATTACCAAGGCTGCCCAAACTTTCGCTCCCCACTGTATTATATCTAACCAAATCATTTCACATGATATCATATATTGCATAATATTGTATTGTCTCATATTATGTATCATATCATTGCATAAAAAGTGTTTTGCCCATGTTTAATAATTGTTTTGCTATTTGTTTCTCAATAGTAATGAGATGTCATAATAAGTAGTAATAAGTGAAGATTACAGCAGTAACAGATAACACATATGAACTAGGTTTTAAAACATTTAGTTTTTTTACAGCTGTATCAAATGTTGTATTGTAAAGCTGTTTTGTATCATCTATGACTCTCTCTGACCACAGGCCACAGCTAGTGTGTTTGGACCTCAGCGACTGTGAGTTTCAGGACCAACAAGCTCTGCTGAGCGCYTTGAGCACCCTCCCGTGCCTTAAGACACTGTTGGTTGTGGGCAACCCGTTCACCCTTGCGCCATCACATCCAGGCTTCACTGTGGACAGCCTCCCACAGCTCAAAYATTTAGACGCCTCGTGGATCTCTGCTGAGGAAAAGTGTCGTTTTAGAGGCTTGGCCACAATGAGTGGTGAGAGTGTACACTGATGTGTCCAGAAGATCTGCAAACATGGRTTCCTTTAACTTATTGTGTCATTTTGGTTGCATATAAAGTATTATTAGAATTATTTGTCTGTTTGTTTGTACAGATCTGATTGTGGATGTAGCTTCGGTCACAGTGAGCCTGAGCAGGTTGATGGGAATCCCAGACCCTTCGATGGGTGTAAATAAAAAAGCTCCTGATTTTCCACTCATCACCTACAACTATTCCATCACATACCCGTTCCTTAATCATCCTCCACCTGATAAACTGGTGATGTATTCTTCCTGCACTTTTTACTTTAATTTATATGTYGTCAAAGTATCTAATCTGAGTTCACCACAAATTAGTTTTTATTTGCGTTACATCTCATTTTATCTGTTTAATTAACATCACTAATATGTTAATGTGTTCACACAATTTCACTTTTTGGTTTCCCTCAGAATATCTTTTTACATGTTAAAGAAGGTTTTATGTTGTCATTGTGAATCTGTCATACATGATGCTCAATATTCACGTTTGCTCAAGTATAAACAACATTCTTATGTTAACCTAAATCTTTTGTCACATCTCTGTAAAAAAAAGTCCAATCACACAGAGAGGGAAATTGTGTTTCCAAAGAAATCTTTGTAAAAAAAATTTTTTTAATGATGTGATTCAAACCCCAACAAGGATGTCTAGTCATTTTTTTATCAGCTAAAGTCTTAACATTAAACTCATGCAACTGAGATATTTGCTGTAGTCACTTCCTTTAGGAACTTTTGAGAAAAAGTTTTTTTTATTAACTGGCTTTTGTATGTTCTTTTATGTTKTTATGTTTTTGTGTGTGTAAATAGATGTTTTCCACCCTATTAGGACCAGGTTTTGTTCCACCTGGTCCCAATAGGGTGAAACAACATCTTTTCAAAGATTCAAGGATTCAAAGATTCAAAGTGTTTATTGTCATATGCACAGATGAAAAACATGTTTCCCTGAGCAATGAAATTCTTACTTTGTCGTCCATTTTTTAGTGCCAAGAGATAACCATGTAAAAAACAAATCATCATTGAAAGGACACAAACAATGTTGATTAAATAAAAAAAGAGGCTAAACTAAGGATAATAACATCAGAAGGGAACAATAAAATAATGACAACTAGAAGGGAACTGTACAATCTGTTTTTAAAGTGTARTGTGCAAATGTGCAACAGGTAACAGTCTGAAATGTGCACATGTGCAGTAATRATAATAAGCAGAAGAATGTCACATTCAGCTGTTYAAAAGTYTGATGGCACTTGGGAAAAATGAGTTCTTGTATCTGGAGGTTCTGCATGTGTCAGGGTTCAGATTTAGCAGGTATGAAAATGAGTTTCTGTTTGGGTTAAGTGGGTTTTTAGGGCAAAGGTCAGGGTTAGGGCACAGAAATGAAGTAAATGCACTAGAAATATAAAAGGTGTRTTGTGTTTCTCATAGAAACTGGACAGTGAGTTTCAGCCTGACCCGGGGTCCGCAGCTCGTGTGACAGAGGACGGCCCGGCYGAAGATGACCAACAGACAAACCGTGAAGGAGAGACGTCCAGTTCAGACGCTGGAGTTTCCAGCTCTGATGAAACCCACACTGAAAGTGAACACCGTAAGAATCGTTGACTCATCTGAGTTGCAACCAGCTTCACACCTAAATTATTACGCAATAACTGAAAAGAGCTGACATAAGGCTCAAAAAGGAAATGAGTTGAGGATGTTTGAAGTGTGTCGGCATGATTTTAGCAAAAATGACTGTAAATTGATWATTTATTCTGTGGAGCTGGAGTGGACTTTTTCTCTTATCAGTGTTGCGTCAGCAGCAGCACACCTCCTCAGGAAAGCAGGAGGTGGGGGGAGGAGAGGGTTTGGGTTACGGGTTAATCCTTTATCAGGTGCCACACATCGTCTCCAGGCCTGACTCTGGTTTTGTAATCTGATTGTGAGCTTTTTTTAAAAAAAGATTATTAATATTTATTTTTTTCCACAGCGTCACAACACAGCACATCCAAACTGTTGTGGACCGAACTCGTGGACTTCAGCGACTCACAGACCTTCACTGTCACTTCTCTGAGAGTTTTGAAGAAATTTCTCAATCAAGGACTTTCTCTCAGGCTGGAGGAGGAAAAGGTGCATGACGTTAAAGGTGGAGGGTTTGGATGTAAAGGAAAACATAAAACAAAGTGATGTAATCTGTTGCATTGTGGCGTCTGATGTTGTAGATCCTGTCATGGCCTGCAGCCTCTGAGGACGCGCCGGCTGTGAAACCGAGCCGGCCTGAAATAAGCAGGAAAGGGAAGAAGGAAGAAGAAGTGAGTTTATCGTTTTGTTTCCCACAAAACCACAAAATGTAGACATGCAACTGAGTTCATGACCCTGCTTAATGAGCAGGAAACTTTCATTACTAAACACTGCAGCAAGTGTTACTGAAAACTGTTTTTCTTTAAAAATCACTGCATGACTAAAGTCGTACTTTGTAAGAGTAGTGTAATTCTTTTAAGTTATCAGGTCCAACGTTCTTCTTCCTATTCAGTCCCGAGCTAAATCCACCAAAGACAAAAAGAGTAAATCTGCACCAGATCTGGTCCAAGATGCCCCCATCAGAAGAACCCTGGGCTCTGCACACATCCCTCTGCAAAGCCTGGTCCATGGAGATCAAAAGGTCAATGTCGTCTGTGACTTTGGTCCTTTGCACACAGATGAGGAGGATGAGCAAACACGCCAAAAGGTGAGTTTAGACTGAGATGAGATGTGATGATCATTACATAATCCACTAATATTTTTTAATCATGTTTTAAGGAGCTTGGGAAAAAGATTAAAGAAGAAAAGAACAACAATAAGGATCTGAAGCAGAGAGGAGACAGGAGCACTGTTCCTTCAAAAGGTCAACTGAACTAGTTCTGCAGTGAATTAAAAAATATAATAATAAACATAGTTTGTAAAGTTTTTTAAGAAAATCACCATACCTTAAGTTTATTTAGAATTAAAGTTCTACATCTGATTTATATTTAGTCAGGTCATTTTCTCTGAGCATATTTCATGAGTCTTGCTTGATGTTCACTGCAGGGAAAGAGAAAAAAGCCCATGATGTGGACATCCAACCAGACGAATCTGCCCGCATCCAACCAGTAACTGTGGAGCTGTGTGTGGAGCTAGAGAAATGGCGGTCTGCATCTGAAGCCCACCAACTCAAACCACCACAATAAAATCTATTAAAGATTCAAATTAAATTACCACAATGCAAGTTCTCATATATATATATATATATATATATATATATATATATATAGTTATCAGACAATGTTTATTGATCCATGTAACCATATCCGAAAGAGCTATATTTAAATGAACTGTCAAATAAATTTTTATTTCTCAAAATTGCTCAACCTAAGAAATATTTGTGTTCACTTTGTGAAACTAAAGTTGTATTTTTCCAACAAATGGATGCTAAAATGTGAGATTAGTTTAACTTAGTGTTAACAAGAAAAAACTGTCAAGACAAGTCAACTCATTTTTCTGTGCTCAAGTGTATAATGGTACAGAAGCAGGGAATGAATCTAAAAAAATAAAAAAGAATTTTAGTAAATACTTTGCAGACGGACATTTTTAATTCATCCATAAACTTTATTTTTATGCAGATCTTTAAAACATACGTAAATGCCAGAAATATTTTACCAATGCAAATCCTTCTGAAATCAATAAGAAACTTTATGAAAAAGGTCATGTCAACTGAGGTTTTACAGTAAGTGAAATTTCTTACCCATCATCCACTCTGTTTAAAGGAGACCATAAAAAATTCCCATTAAAGCCAAAAAAGTAGTTTTTTTCTGTTTCACTTCAAATGACAGTGAACAACTGATCTTCCATCATAAAATTACACACAATATCAAACCATTTTAGAGTACATACCATCTCCACACATAGAAAAATAAACTATAGCTCAGCATTTTCTTTTTTGCACAAACTGTTTTATCAATCAAATATTTTACAGCTTCAAATAAACACTTTTTATGATATCATATTGTTCTTGTAGCCCCAGATAATCTGTGCAAATATTGTAAGGATTTTGATAAATTATCTGATCTGAGGCACTCCCAGATCGGTGCGTCCACTCAGAGCTCTCCCACTCGCACAAAACCAGAATACCCAAAATTTTCCCTCCACAGTCGTTTAGAGTTACAAACAAAAACTTTTATGAAACATAATTCTGGATGTGTCAGGTGTTCAGAAAGCATCGCTTTCAGAGAGGAGAGCTCACAGGCTGGCGTGGACCACGAAGGCGCTTGGCAGAAACAAGCACACAGAAGACGGTTAAAATCTAGGAGCGGAAAAGCAAAAAATGATGTGCAAATATACTGATTGTGCGAACGAGTTTTTTTTAAAAAGCAAAAGGCTTTTAAAAGGTCTGGTCGTCCGTACAGGAATCGGTCCAGTGGCCAAAGACCTCGCAGATGTCGCAGTAGGGCCGCTCCTCGCCCTTGTTGCCGTGGTAGGTAGTGTGTGGAGGAGAGTCTGGCATCTGCATCTGTGTGGGACAGTCCTCGGTGTCGTGGAGGTCGAAGCAGTCGCAGATGTCGCAGAACAGTCTTGGTGGAGGCTTCTTCTTAACGGGCTGCTTGTCAAAGCTGCTCACAGGACAAAAAAAAAGTAATCAAAAGTGAATATCAGTCATACAGACGTTAAAACATCTGCTGAGGGTGAGACTTACTCGTCACTGTTATCCAGTTCATTTGGATTATTCCCATTGAGAGCAGCAGCTGCCATTTTCTCCAATTTGTCTTTGAGTTCCTCATTTTTCCTCTGAAGGTCAACAATGACTGAATTCAGGAACTCAATCTGTGAAGAAAATACACACACACACAAAAAAAAACAGGCATAAATTCTGGTCTTTACAAATATTAATCTGTATCGCAACAGAAGTTATTGATTATAGACTTTTAAATTTGTAATTTAGGGTATTTATTTAAAAATGACAAGGTTTTGGGTGAAAAACAGTAATAGTTGTGAGAAACGTTAAAATCAACAGTTGTGTTGCCAAATTCACCTCCCCAAAAATGAACTCAGTCTGCTGTGAGTCGTCATCAAAGACAAATCAATACTTGGAATGACTCAGTGGGAAAGCCAGAAAAATGTCTAAATGAGTAAAATTCCCTGATGACCATTATGCCTTTTAGATAAGACCTTTAATGTTTTTTAATTTCGTCAGAGAATGACATCGACACAAGTTTGATTTATCTTCAGATGACAGTTTCACCCCCCCAACCATGATGATGAACTGACAGACAAGTGAACGACATGCACAAATGAAGCTGATGAAAAGCATCAACAAACCGCTGCCTGATGGTGGTGTAGCCAACATCAGAAACAGAAGAGAAGAGTTGAATTTAGGGAAAAGAAAAGAAAAAACAAAATACATGAAATTTCAGTTGAGATCCTCATTCTGCCAGACAACACACTCGTGGCTGCTGAACATTTCTGAATAAACAGGTTGTAGGTGAGAACAGACATGCTGACGGAGCAGTATAATCTGATGGATGTTGTGAAAATGCCTCTCTGTGGTGAAGTTCTAATTTAACAGGTAGAACCTCTAATCTGAGTCATGTCAAAAGCCACGTTTGATTATGATTAAAGCCTGTTAAACATCCTGTAACTTGACTCCAATGGGCTTTAAGATAAGTGTTTGAGTAGAAAGTACAAAATGACACAATTTACAGACAACATTCAATAAGGCCTCAAAATGGGATCTGATGTAATCACAATCTCTATCAAAAATTCTCATAGGCAGGTTAGGAAAGCATCATTTCAAAACATGTTTAAATGATATATTAAAATAAAATAAGCACCTAAAATTCCTGTTTAAGAGGAGCAAAACAGTACACACCTGACTTTCTGCAGTTTCTTTATCTTCTCTCAACTGGTCCAAAACTGCATCACCTGGAAAACATTAAATCAAACAAGATTGCTTTTTTTAATTGTTGTTTAGCTCATAAGGATTTATCCACCAGTAAGACTGTGATTCTTAGACTGCGCTCACACTGCAGGAAAAGTGACCGCCTGACTGTGATAAGTCTGATATTTTCAAATTCAACCCAGGTTTTTTCATCATAATTTATAATTGGATACACATCAGTCTTCTCAAAGTGTCCTCAGTCTGAACAGTTACGTCTTATTTCATCCGATCTTCACGTTGTTGAGTTGTTGTGTATGGATCAATCCAGATATTGATATTATCGATATCACCATCACTAATTCTGCACGTCTTTCAACTGCAGAACAAAAATCCAGACTTTGTGTTTTTAAATTTGTCGTGTCCTTCATGACTAAGAATTTACACACAAATATGATRCTAACAGTAGGATACCACAGTGTTCATGTTAGTATCAATACTCAAGTTTCTTTCTACTTTCAGTACTTTGATCCCATTCCAGTAGTACAAATCTGTGTTGGCGCAAGATCAAATGTAAACAGTGAATGAAACAAGCATATAAGAAGATAATTTAGTCGGCTATGGTTGCACACCACCTTCAGGATCAATCCACACACGCCAACATGTGTAGCATTCATATTTAAATCTGTAAACACATCATGCTGACATCACGTTGTGTTCTGTGCACACAGGTCACTTCAGAGTCGTGTGCTGTTCACATTAGAATCTGATGGACTAAAATGTGAACAACCATACAAAAATTGTAAAAAATAAAAGCGCATTTGARCAAATCACTGAAACTGAGCATTAAGACCTGCAGTGTGAATATTACTTCCAGTGTTACCTGAGAGCTTGCTGAGGTCAGGTCCAGCAGCGAGGTCTTTCTCTAGTCTCTGAACACGCTCCTGTAGAAAACCATTGTCCTGCTCCAAGGCCTGAACTGTACTCTGTAGCTTCTTAACTGAGGCACTTTCTTCACGCATTGTAGCCAACTGTGAAGAAAATAAGATAAAGATAAAACTTTATTGATCCCACAGTGGGGAAATTTGCACATTACTGCAGCTCAATACAGGAGAGGGTGAGAAGAATAAAGAAAGATAAACAAAAGGAAACAAAAAAAAACCCCCACAAAATACACATGTGATATATTATAATGTACATATACCAATGCACATATACATAAACACATATGCATATACATTTATACACATATATACCGTATAGTACAGTAAATAAACGTAAAAAGTATATGTATAAAAGTATATGAAGGTGCACATTAGTGATGGCAGTGTATATAAATATCCCTAGATTTATTAAATATGGCAAATGACATTTCTTTTGTCTCCTAAAATGTTACCAAAAATAAGAATCCAAAAAGAAAGTAAAGGACATTAATCCAAACAAAAATAATTTAGAGTAGTCATTGAACAAGTTCAGACCCCAGAGATGACATTATGTGCAGAAATCTAGACCAGATTTCAGAAGCTCTGGTGTGATTCTGCTGAGAAATGTGTCACTTGCTTTGTACCAGAAACAGAAGTTTCCAACTGACAGTTTTCAATACTGAACTTTCAGCTGTGGAGGAAATTATTTGAAAGCATACAAAAATGAAAGCAGGTGACCGAGAAATCACATCCTGTTAAGATATGTGCCTGCAGACTCACTCTTTAGTCTGATTTATTTTAAAAAAAGAGAGAGAATGTGAAGAGGAGCATTACTGGTTTAATAACTTTATAAAATGCATCCTGTTCAATGTTTTAAATTCTGACCTCCGTAGATTTGTAATGGGATACATCTAAAATATGGTTCTTACTGGTTGTTCTTAAAAAACTAGGTTTTCACCAGCACTTTATCAGGTGATCCAAATAGGAAGAGCTGCACAACTTTGTTTTAAGTACAGAGTAAAAATCTGATTAGTTTCTTACCTCACTCTTCATGTTTTCCACCTGCTGGTCCTTTTCTGAGATTAAGGCACTGATTTCATGGATGGACTGTTGGAGAGCGGCCTTCTCCTTGTTCGACTGCTCTTTCCAAGTGCTTTCACTGTTTAACAAAGTCAGGATGTATGACAATCAAATATCAAAGAAAACAATTAACTCCGTTCGCAAAAAATGTTTTAATGCCAGCTCTCCAATTTGGGAGTGCAAACAGTCTACTGAACTCTTTGTTCCTCAAAAAATTTGTGAGAAAAAGAAAAAAAAAGTAGGATATAGTGGCAAATGGAAAAGATTTAGAAATATAAGCCACGCTTGTCAAGCAGGTGTTGCCTAAATGGTCGACATTTGTTTCATGAGGTGATTGATGATGACAAGACATAAATAAAAAAAGGTATCAAGTACCTGAAAGCATTATTAGGCAAGCTTTGAAGAAGAAAACAAATACTGTGACTTAGCCATTTTATTTCAAATGCACTGAAGATTAGCAGCTGTCACACAGAACATACACACATGCTATTAAAGCAGGTCTGCAAAAATAATAAAAAAAATAACAACCTTTGTTTCAACTCTTCCAGCTCCCTTTTGATTTTTGAGTGGTCGTCTTGTACCTTTGGAGAAACAAGTCAAATTCAAAAATGGTCACTAAATTACAAAGAATAACAATAATAATATTGACTACAAGAATAATATAATTATTCACCTTCACAAGTTCATTCTGGTCTTACATGCTTGGCTATTTTTTTAATTATAGATTAAGAAGATAGCAAATTATCCAAACGTACACTGTAATTTTTATGTACGCTCTTGTTGGCAATTAACAAATATTACAATAAAAGAGAAACAATTAATTAATATTTTAAAATACTGGTTTTACAACCTGTGGCCTCAGAACGGAGAYAAAAACAATCAAGATGTGTGAAACTTTAGATATCAAATCAAAAGCTGTTGGACTTTAGAACTGCCAATTTCTTAAAGCAAAAAAACAAAACAATAAAAAGCACTGAGTGGAATAAAGAGTTCGCTGCCATATTGGTGTAAACCAGATAGATTTTGCCTGACATCAGCTCACGTTATAAGCCCACAGGGAAAAGCTGGGAACTAAGCGTAATAAGCAGTGGTTAGTAAATGAAAGATGAAAGTCAGACACAAAAAGAAAAGGGAGACAAACCAGCAGACATGCAGTGAAAAGGGTGGCGTAGCCCCAGCAACACTACAGGCGAGTCAGTGATTAGTAGGAGAAATACCTCAAGCTGCTTAGAAAGGGCATTTTTTAGCTGCGACTCGAGCTCCCTGACTCGCTGGGCGGCTTCATCCCTCTCCACCTGCACGGCTTCCTTCTGAGCTGTGAGATCCGAGACGCTGGAGGAAATTTCTTCTTTTACAACCGTAGAGGCTGAAAGAGCTGCGAGAGCCTCCTCGTACTGTTTTTCCAACCTCGCCCTGTCCGTTTCCTGAGCCTCGGCTTTAACCTCGAGCTGCTTCTTGCTAGCCTGCAAACACTCCACCTCTTCGAGAAGAGAGCGGCGTTCAATTTGCCAACTGTCCTTGTTTGAGCAAAGAGAGGATATTTCTGCCTTTAACTGAGACTGCCTGTCTGACAGCTCTTCTTTTTCTGTGGTCATTAAAGTTATCAGTTTGTCCATCTCTTCAAGCTTAGATGACAGTTGTTCCTTTTGTTCTGAAAGATCACAGTTTTCTTGCTTTTTCTGCGTTAGTTTTGCTTTCAAAGCCTCCACTTCCTCCACGTAAGACCTCTTTTGGTCTTCAACACTTTTAAGGCTGGAGGAAATCTCTTCTTTTTCATGTGTAACCATAGACAAAGTTTTCTGAAGATCCTCGAGTTGTTTGGACAGATCGTCTCGGTCAGACATGGCTTTGCTTCGCTCGCTGTATTCAGCTTGTAGCTTTGTCTCAAGAAGGTTGTTGGCTTCTGAAACAGACTCAATTTGACTTTTAAACTTCTGCATCTCCTGAAGCAGAGCCTGCTTCTCTCTCTCTAAAGACTGCGCTTTGTTTTCAGCCTCGGTCTGCAACGACTGAATACGATGAGTGTCTTTTCTAAGGTCGTCCACCTGCTGAACGAGCTCTAGGTTTGATTTCTCAACTTGCGTTTTTATTTTCTCACGCTCAACAACAAGTTCAGTTTTGGCCTTTTCAAGAACTTCCGTATCAGAGTGAAGTTTCTGCAGTTCGTTTTGTAGGTCGGTCTTCTCTCGTTTTAAGGTGGCCACCTCTACTTCCAGCTCATTTTTCTGAGTTTTGGCTTCCTCAAACGTTGTCGTTAAATGATTCTTGTCTTGGAGAAGATCAGCGTTAACTCTGGTGAGCTTGTCTAAGTGGTCCCTAGTTGTTCGGATATCACTTGCCAGCTTATCACGCTCTAGAGAAAGAGTGTGTTTCTCAGATAGGGACTTTGTGTGCTTTTCTTCTAACTCCCCCTTCTCCACAGCTAAACGCTCATAATCCATTTTCTGCTGCTCTACTGTTGAATCCAAGCTCATGTTTTCTTTTCGCAGATCATGCAGAGCCATCTCAGTGTCAGAGATCTGAAGACGCAACGTTTGCTTCTCCTGCTCGAAGGACGCTGATGTTTCTTTGAGTTTCTCATTAGAAAGAGACAGTTGCTCTGTTGAGACGTGCAGCTTCTTTTCCATTTCTTCTACCTGTCTGAGGAGCTCCTCTTTCTCATTGGAGAGTTTTCTTTGGTTAGAAAGCAGGTCCTCCTTCTCTTGGAGAAGGTGAAGCCTCTCAGAATCAGTCACTTGACTGCTTGTCTTGAATTCTTCCAGCATCTGAGCCAAACTCGTTTTAGAGGCTTTAAGCTCTTCACATTCACGGACAAAACTCTCCAACTCTTTCTTAGTAAGACTGAGCTTACTTTGGAGCTCCTCTTTCTCCGTCTCGAGGCTTTTTTTGTCCAAGGCAGCAGCATTGATTTCAGAGGACATCTCCATCTTCTCTTTGGTCAGGCTTTCTGTCAGGGCCTGAAGCTGAGTGTTCTTCATTGTAAGATCCTCTTTTTCTAAATTCAATGACTTGAGTTTCCCCTGAAGCTCAGCACTCTTCGCATCAAGAGAGTTTCTGGCATTTCTAGCTGCATCCCGCTCTAAAATGAGGTTGTCCCTTTCGCATGTGAGTTTAGATTTGGTTTCACGGAGGTCCTCTTCGAGACGGTTCCTCTCTTTGCAGATGTTTTCATAATCCTCAAGCAGCTGCTTCTTTTTAGACTCGATTTGCTGGATGTCCATTTGATGCTTCAGGACGCTGTCGTTCTTCTCTGAATTTTGTATTTGAAGCTGGTCAATTTGGGCCAGATATTCACTTTTACTCTGCAGCAAATCTTTGTTTTCAGTCTGAGCTTCCTGAAGGAGCTGTTTGAGAGTTTCTATTTCCTTATTCAGGGAAATTCTCTCTTCACCTGAATGTTTGTTACTAGCGAGTAGTTCCTCTTGATGTTTCACAAGTTTTTCTTTAGCTATTAGCAGCTCTTCRTTCTGTGCTGAGAGCTCCTTGCAACTAATCTGAAGGGCAGAAATCTGTTGCTCTAATTTATCTCTCTCAGCTTTAACATCCTCACTTCCTTTACTCAGGTTTTCCAGATCTAGATTCTGCTTTTCCAGTTTTTTTGACATGTGCTCGACATCCTGTTTGTAGGAGTCAAGCTCAGCAGAAAGGAGCTGGGAAAATAAAGGTGAAAGAAAAAAAAAGGGAATGTATACATATGTGCCTCACACACACGCATGGTAAAGTATGAATAAATACCAAATAAACAAAGCATAAAAATATGGCAAAAGATCACAGCAAAACTTATAGCCCATTTTAAAAAAAATGTAAAGACAGAGGTTTCTCACTTCAGCCCAACAACTTTAAGTATCTGCGGGGCTGAAAATAATGAAATGTAGCAAATATCAACATGAAGAGAGTGACTGAGCACTTCAATCAAGTTAGCATCACTGTAAAATTATTTTGGCTGCACAAATGTTAGATTTGTAGTTAAATAATAAGTATAAAATGTAAATTCCAATGTCACAAGTGAATATCACAGAACCAAGATAAATAAAGATCTTGGGCAGAAAGTGAAACTTTTCCTATTGAAAAGCTGGGTAATAAACACCAGAAAAAACTTAAGTTACAAAAAAAATGTTTAAGACAACTCAATGGATTTGGAATGGACACAAATCTAACTATCCAAACCTCACAATTTTTTGCACACTATTTGCAGAGTTGATYAAATGAGTGGCTTGATTTGTTGCTGTTAGATTAGTTGGGGGAGGGGGGAAAAGGTACTAAAGAAGCCTTTCTCACTTTTGCAAAAGACTTGCCGACCTGAAATAGGTACTGCATTGTTGGTCACTTCACTGACCAGTGGATCCATTTCTCTGGTTTCTCTGTTTGACCAGAAAGCTGATTCTAAACTTCATAAACAGGGCTGGGTGATATGCCAAAAAAAATTATCACGATTAATTTTTTCATATCATCCGATCTCGATTAATATCACGATTTTTTTTTGTTGACCTAAAAAGTGACTGAAAAACAATTTAACAAATAAATAGCTACAGAATTTTTAAAAAGAATGGCTGTTATTTCACTTTCACTAATATGACAAATAGCTGTGGTTCAGTAGAACATTAAATCCTTTTTGAAAGGTGTTTAAAAGTATTTACTAACCTAAAAAGTGTGTGATTATAAAGTGACTGAACAATAATTAAACAAATAAATAGCCACAGAAATAAAAAAAAATAATGTTTATTATTTCACTNTTCACTTTCACTAATATAACAAATAGCTGTGGTTTGGTAGAACATTAAATTATTTTTGCAAAGTATTTACCAAGAAAACAACTATGTGTAAATCATAGAATCTCACATTAATAAAGTTATCCTTTTGTAAAATTAAATTTTTATAATTGAATTTCACATTAAATATGCCATAAAGAAACATAAAGCCTACAAACAGCAACAATTTGTGCACACTTGCCTATTGGATATCTAAATATTAGCCTTTAAAAAAGCAATAAAAAAAAAACTTGAACAATAAGTAAAAAGAACAATTTGCTAACATTTTAGTTAATGTTGTTGAATGAACCAAAAAATATCAGATATCTTTGTAGTTTTCCATAATTTTCGTACATCGATTGAAATGTTTTACCAACATGTATGTAGGTGAAACAAGCAGATTTGATGGAGTCTGTGCTTACCTGAGCCTGTTGTTTGTACGGCTGCAGCTCCGACACCATCTTTTCCAACTCTTGAGTTTTTTCTCGGGAGGACGAGAGCTCCACCTTGAACCTGTCKATCTGTGTTTGCAGCATTTCAAGCTCCTTCGCATGGAGCTCTGAAGCCTCAGAGAGAGATTTCTTATTGGATGCCTTCAGATCCTCAACGAGGGTCTCGTTCTGTTGAAGTGTGGTCTCCTAACAGGAAAAAAAGATAACATAAACGATCACACAGAATTTATTTACGGTACCTTTCCTGCCAGTGATTGAAGCCATTTTCATTCATTCACCTCAGTCCTGTACAAAATTTCCTCACATTTTTACATCTAGAAAATATACAATAACCATGAATGATAATTGCTTAAAATTACAAAAACATATTTTTAAACAGTTTTCTGATTGTTGCACAAATACTGACCATGTTAGTAATTTTCTCCTGAAGACTACTTATTTGAGTCTGATGTGCATCTCTAATTTCTTTCAGCTCCTGCTCWTTCTTTGACTGCTCCTGCTGAAGTTGTTCATTCAAATGTGCCACCTTCTCCTTCTCTTCGWCTAGTTGATTCTGCAAATACTCCAGCCTCCTGTGTAAGAACAAAAGACAGGAGAATGTGCAGTGAAAGATGACAAAAAAACAGATTTGGGCCACTTTTGTTTGCTGCGTCTATGTRGCTGTAAATTGGTAACATTTAAGTAGTATAATCAGGTAATGTACAATATTTAGTACCTTTCCTTCTGTGTGAGGTCTTCATTCATTTTAGTCAGTTGAACTGAACTATCACCAGAKGTCTTCATCATCTCAGAAATATCCTTTTCCAGCTTGCTTTTATCTTTTGAAAACTGTTCAAGTCTTTCATCTGCAGCCTTCAGTTTCCTTTCCATTCCTGAATAAAAAAAGCAACACGTTTAGAGGGTTTGTTTTTTAAACATGGGGGACTTGAGTGCAATAATAAAGCAAAAGTGGAAATAAAATATTAGCACAGAACTATGCAGCCCTAACAAACTCACCAGCAAGCTGATTCCTCAGAGACTCAGATTCTGTGGATAAAGATGTACACTGCTCATCTTTCTTACCGAGACTCTCAAGAGTTTCTGCAAAAAAAAAAAAAAAAAAAGGCTGTATTTGTGCTGCATGAAAAATAGTTGTAGTGAAATATTTGATTTGCAGTGATTCCATATTTTACCTTGCATAGTTTTAGCCGATTCTGTCAGCTTCTCTGTGCTTTCATTTAATTTCTTTTTCTGTAAAGAAAAAAAAAACATTTGTTTATGGTGCCACGATGCAACAAAGTGGACTGTAAAAGATAAAGCAGTTATGAAACCCTGAAGGACATCAATCTCACCAGTTTTTCAACTTCTTCTACCAGATTGTCATTCTGCTGCTTTACAGTAGTTAGACTCTGCTGCAAAGAAACAACTTGTTGCGTTTTACTTTCCAACTGAGAGCTCAGTTCACCAACCTGCAGCGTATTGTTTAAAAGCAAATAATAAATTAAAAAAGGCAAAAAGTTTAATTTTTTCATGACAGAGCAATACTTATCTAAATGGAAAGAAAAAAAAAAACACTAAAACAGCTAAACCATGACACATACTGCAACAAAGTTCAGTTCAGTTTAGTTTATGTATATAGCTCTGAGTCACAACATGGATCGTCTCAGGGCACYGTGCATAAAAACAATCTAAAGAAAAGAAGACAGCAGACTGCCTTGAATCACTTCGTCACAGTTGCTCATCCATCTTCAAATAAACAAAGTGTTTAAGAACTCACCTTTTCACAATGGCTGTTTCCTTGAGTTTGTACGTTTTCTAGTTGACTCTTTAGAGCTACACACTCTTGGCTTTGTTGTGCTAATTGACTGCTGAGAGCCTCCACTTCTGCCTTCTGCTCTTTGGTTTCTCTCTCTCTGTCTTGAACCTGTTGTGTCATCACAGCTTCTTTCTCCTTGAGCTCCTTCACCCTAATTTCAGCTGCATGAAGCTTTCCAAGAACATCCTCCATCTCTACAAGGTGCTGCTCTTCTGCTTTTTCAACGCCGGACCGCAGCGACTCTTCCAGTCGCTCCTTGTCCTCAGTCAAAGACAGCAGCTGTGCCTTCAGCGCTTGCGTCTCCAGAGTCCAAGCAGAGACACCAGCGTCGTGTTTGGCTGCAGCCTCGTCTAAAGCTAACTTGTGCTCCAACTTGAGCTTTTCTAGAGCACTTTTGACCTCTACGAGCTCCTCTGCTTGAGCCCCTGCACCTTTACTGAAGGAAGCTTTCAGCTCTTCGATGGCTTGTTGGTGAGAGGTAAAGGCGGACTCCAGCTTGGACCGCCACAGTTCTACAGTGTCAGCATTCTCCTTCTCAGCTTGGCTCAACTGTATCTGTAGCTGTTCTTTTTCACTAGAAAGCTTTAGAGATGAAGCCTGAATCTGTGCAACTGCTTCACTGTGGGTTTGTTCTTCAGCTTCAAGCTTTTCTTTGTACTCCCCCACCTCTTCTTGCCATTTAGCCTCTTGAGATGCCAGCTGATCTTTGAGGGAGTTTATCTCTTCCAGCAGAGGGGTGAGAGCAGAGTCGTCAGAGCTCTGTTGGACCCCGAGACGCAGCTGCATGTCAGCTACTTCTCTCGTCTTCAGTGAAAGGTCTCTCTCGAGTTCCATAATGCGAGACCTTTCTGACACAGTAGCAACCTTTAAAAGCAGAAATTATGCATTTAAGAAAGTTTTCCAGTTGGTACAACAAAAAAATTCATTAATAAAGCAATGTGYAACTGTTGCTAAAAATTGATAAAGTATATAATCTGCAACCTCAAACAAGTGATTATACTGACCTCTTGTGGTTAAGACAGGGAAGGGTTGAAAAAACGTGAGACAACAATTGAGCTAACAGTGCGTAAACATTTTAAATCATTAACTTTAAAATTTATTTATTGAACAATATGCCATTACTGACTTTGGTTATAAAGACATGAACAAAATTAGGTAATATTAAAGAACTCTAATTATACTCTTAACATCTATAAAACAAACACTGACTTCTGCTGCTTTAACAAACCTTTTACAGTACAAAAACGTCTTTAAGTGCTTATTTTTATAGAAATTATATAAACTAATAAATAGTATTTTTGACACAACTTAAAACTTTGATACTATGGAGGAACACCAGGGTGCGTAATCTGGGAAGTTGAGCAGTTTTTAAAACTAGCAAACGCAGGGACACCAGAAAGCAGGACAAATGGATGCCAGGGAGGACTGGGRATGTAGAACATAGGACATCTAAGAAAATGACTGGCTGGAAGAAGGGGCAAGACTGTCTGTCTGGTTAAGCAGCATCACAAGTAAAGAAAAAGGTGTTTTTTTTTTGTTTTAAAATTGGGCAACTTGTTTTAAATTAAAACTAAAATGTTATTTTGATGGTTTAAAACATTGTAATCTGCATAAAAAATAAAGTGGCAGGAGAGTAAATTTGGAAAAATGATTCAATATTAAATTTTGCATCTGAATTCATAGAGTATTAAAAAAAATCAAAACCCATTAAGATAGAGTACAAGCTGATTAACTGATTTCTATGAAGAAGACTTTTTATATGAAACTGGACAACCACATCCTAAAAAAAAAAAACAATAAAAAAAAACAAATCACCACAAGCCCATAAGCAGCAAAATCCCAGTTACTGACTGCTTCCTCTCTGTAAAATCTTTGCCCTCTATACCTGGCTCAGGCCCACTTTCCCAACGCAGCACACCCCCAGAGCAGAATTCATTACCCTAGTGTCTTCTAACTCTCTTTGGAGTTTCTCAGCTTTGGTCTTTTCAAAGAGCAGGCTCTGTTCAAGCTCCTTAATGTGGACATGCTCCAGCCTGGTCTGCGTCTGTTAGTAAACAAGGAGGAGAGGAAAAGAACACACCAGTGCCACCATCACATGCCAGCCCAACGCAGACAGAGAGGGAGGGAAACAGCAGAGGTAGAGAGTGTGTTTGTGTGTCTGTGTGTATGATGATGATGATGATGATGATGATGATGATGAGAAAGGTTGGGTACAGGGTAAAGGGTGGGTGTGATGATGAGTGGAAATGAGTAAACAAACATGCAGAAATTTCATGCTGTACCAGTAACAGCTCAAAATGTGGACTTTTATAAATGAGTGGCAGGAAATACAAAACAAGCAGATGTTTTATGGGTGTGCAGGATGGGTTTGTAGGTGGGGACAGTTTAGCTGTAAACATGCAACACTGATACCTGGTGAATAAAACAAACGGACTGTTATTATACACAGAAAATGAGGGATTCTGTATCAAACCAGTGATACAATWGCTTCACCACAGCATGAAGAGAAAGCAGTGCTGGTTTTTCCTCCACACTGAAATACTTCATGATTACAGAGGTTTTCCAGTTTAACACAGACATGCTATTCCAGTGACAGTTTTATACAAATAGGTCCTAGAATTAATCAGTACCAACAATGCTTTCTCTTTTAGTCAATAGGGACATTTCTTACACTAAATTATGTTTAAAAAGATCAGTGCAAATATCAAACTATCATGGGCAAAACATGTGACAAACTTAAAAATCACAGAAATGTTTTCTTTAGAGATAGCCTCATTTAACATCTTGTTGGGAAGTTAAAAAAACAACCACTCAATAGAGTTTGCTGTCAAAATGTTGCTTCTTGTCAAAAGTTTAAATCTCATATTAATAATAGAAATATCACCTATTTCACTTTGAAGGCCCATGATGAGATTTAACTCATTTTCTCCTAACTTTAATTTATTTAGACACTTTAATATAGTACCAAAAATTTTAAAATTTTAAATGCCATTAACTTTGTAATAAATATTACATTTAAATTCTTAACAAATGTTAGTCCCGTTTGGCTGCAGAAGCCAAAGGGAGTCAGGTTTGTGACTAGTGAGTGGAATGGTACRGGCACATCCAGTGGTTACATGCTGAGCACTGGACCAACATAAACAACAAGAAAGAACAAGTAATAAGAKATCACAACACTGGACAAGGAGGCACTGAAAGTTACAGCTGAACATTAGTACAACTTCAACAGCTTGCAGCTAAAGCATTTTTAGTTCAGCCTAAACATTTTGTTTTTAGTTGGTGTGTATCAAGCTGCATGCATTTTGTAATAAAATCCCAGCTGTGAAAAGATAAACTGTTAGTGTACACTTTTAAATACCACTGGGATCCTTAATGCTGTCTGTCATAACAGGTAAACACGACATTTTCTGTGTTGAAAAAAAAAAAAGAAGTTTTGAATTACTGTAGAATAAATGGAAACTGCTATAAAATAACTCATAAATGGACCAAATTTTGTTTTTTTCTATATTATAAGTTAAAAAAATTAATTACATTTACTACAGATCAAAATGATTTGTTTGGAGACAAGTAGGGTGTTTGTGTTATTTACATAAGACTGGTACTCAGTTAAGCAGTATGACTTTATAATGTCACGTGTGGTTGGGCATTTATTTCTGGTTTAGACACAGCCTCGCCATTAAGCCAGAACTTCACCACTGCAGATATTTCACAGCTCTSCTTCTAGTGAAGCCAGTATCAAACAGTTCATGCAATCTCAGTAACAGAGAGTGCAGAGTGGATAGTTTTTATTGAAAATGACAGATAATGCAAATGGCCTGATTCAACCTGACAGTAGCTCTGCGACAAGAGATTCCAGATGATTCTGTGCAAGCTTAACTTTCAGGGGTCGTTAAAAGATTTAGTTTGTAATTTTTTTAAAACAGATTTAAAAAAGGTAATTTATCCCACAGTTCTGTAATGTTTTCATTWTATGGAAATATCAATATTACATAAATACTTGAAGAGTTATGTTGCACATTTACCTCCAGGTCTCCTTTGGTAATGCAAGCTTCCTCAACACGAAACTGAAGGTCCTCCACTTTCCTAATAAAATAAAAATAATAGAACTAACGATAAAAAAACCAACATCTACATTAAGTAGACCTAAAAAACAATGTAATGGTTATTTGCTGTCATTTTCMCTCTCTTTGAACTTAATTGACATTAAAAACTTTAAATACTCAAGTCATGGTTGTTTTTTGTCATAGATTGAACTTGTACCTGCGCTCCTCCTCCAGTTGATTCAGCAGCTCCACTTTCTCTTTGTCTGCAGCTTCTACTAAGGCCCGCAGCTGATCCATTTTTGCCTCCATCTTAAAACAGCAAAACGTCAATTTAACACAAATGATTTGGTGACAAGGGAAAACTTTAATTCTCTGCAGTTTCATATTCGYGAGTGAGCCGACCTGCTCTTGATCATCCCTGAGGACGCTAATTTCTTGCTCCATCTCTCCAGCATGGCTGGTGGCCTTAGCAACCTCAGCTCGTTCCATGTCCCTCTCKGCCATCAGCTGCTCGATATGCTGTTGCTTCTCCTTCAGCGCCTCTTGCAGGGCTGTGGTGCCGGAAATCTTTCGATTATATCTTGATGACGTCTCTGTTAACTGTACAAACAAAAAAGTAGAATTATCATAAGGCTAAGGTCAATACTAAATTAGTTTATTTACGTCTCAGTTTTATTGGTACTGATTATGTTCTTGTCTCACCAGGCCGGTTCGGCTCGGCTTGGTGCTAACAGATGATGTCACCGAGCTCATGGTGCTGATAGATGAGGCACTCGGGCTTCTCTTCAGCCCCGATGGTGTGGCCACTACTTTTCGAGCTGTTGTTTTTGCTTTGGCTGGCGTTGTGGAAGGGAAGCCAATACGTGTGACTTTGTGAACGGGAGCAAATAAGCCATACTTGGGTTGGCACTGAAAATATCTGCAGAGACAATTAATATAATCAGAATCTAAAAAAGTGTAGAATAATAAWTTAAAAAAAAAAGATTTGTGGTTGATGACTAGCTTTTCTTTTATTCACAGATCATGTAGTCTTGGTACCTGGTGCCAGCCACTGCGCCATCATTCTTTCCAAGTGGTTCATCCAGTTCCACACCACACCACTCGCCTTTAGCAAAATCAGTTTCTCCAAGGAACCGTACCACTCCTGCTTTTGTACCACCAACCTGAGAATATCAAACATAACGTAAACAAGTTTTCCTCTCAAGAGATAAGACAACCCTAAAATGTTTGCATTTAATCCAGCTAAATGAGATAATTCCAGAAAAGTGACAAACAAGTTCAGGCTTTTTTAAAATTAATGTCCAAGCATGTATTTTCTTCCAGTTGTTTAAAAATGCACCGCTGCACAAATGACTAAATACTACATTTGATCGTGATGAGCACATTTCCTCTACAGCCTTAGTAGCAAGAGCAATGCTTCCTTCTAACTGAATGAATTACGCAGCCCTCAGGCTCAGGAAAAGGTCCAAAGTAAAAGAATCTGTTTAGAGGAAGGAAGGCTCTGATCAACATTTAAGTGGGTTTAGAGGGCTCCAAACAGATGGTGATTGAGTACCACTGTGAAAGACAAAGGAGCTAAAAGAAACAAAGAAAATAACATTTTTTGCTATATTTATTTTTATGAGACTTGAGTTTGTATCTAAGTTACTAATTTTAACAAGTGCAGCAAATGTTTTAGGAGTTCTGTTGCTTTGCTTAAATACTTAGATATGAAAACAGATTRTATTAAAATTACTGCAAACATTACCAACACACGGTCGCCAATCTTCAGCTCCCTTTCCCCCTTCTTGACTGAGCCACTCTCAGAGAGGTTAGAGACAGATTCGCTGTTGGTGTGAGCCAGGTTTGTAGATGGTGCAGGTGCTGGAGTGGCTGCTGGAGTGGAAGAGGCCTTCTTGGCTGTTGTAGTACTTGTGGGCAATGCTGACTTCGAGGCCGGTGTTTGTGAGGCAACACTTCCAACTGAAGGTGTGGGTGAGGCAGCACGAGACTGTGGTGCGGTCTGAGTTCCATTGGCCTCGTCTTCTGTGCGGGACAACTTGGAAGGGCGGGTAAATATCCCTCGGAGGGCTTCACACTGGAAGTAGCGCACACCTGCCACTGAGCCATCGTTCTTCCCAATCGCCTCATCCAGGACAATTCCCGCCCACTGCCCTGGAGCAAACTGTGTCTCTCCTAAAAACTGTACGTAGCCAGGCTTGTTTCCATTCACCCAAACTCGCTCCCCGATCTGGAAGTTTTCCTCAGCATTCTTGTCATCTCCTCCACTGGTACTGGCAGCTGATTTGTCAACCCCAGTAGCTTTAGCTGTGTTTAAAAGAGAGTAGATTTCCCATTAAGTGAATTAATTTTGTTAAAAAAGATCAAGAGATGGACACATCTAGTTAAGTTAATTGCAGTTTGCCACTTCACTCTGTTGAGCTTTAACAATTTCTTCTAGTAAATTATGGATTTTAACAAAAAAAAGAAGAAGAAAGAAAGAAATAAACACTTGAAGTCATCTTGTTCAATATATCTTAAGAGTGCACTAAACAGACAAAGAATAATTTAATGTAGAACCACTGGAAAGTAGAACCAGCTTTGTTAATTTTCCCAAACACAGATTTGGCCTATTAAATACTTCAAGACCAAGATGAACATGCAGACATCCATACCTGTAACTGGGTTTGTTTTAGGGGCTCCAGGTCCAGGTGGTCTAGCTATTTTGCTTGGGACTTTGATCCCAGTTGATTTGGCTGAGCTCATATTTCCTGCAGTGATCTGACCCACAAATCTCGTGTCCGTCAGTGGGTACAGACTGGCTCCAAAACATCAAAAYGAGTGTTTCCAGGTCCCGGTTGGTTAAGTTGTTCTCTCCACACACGGTTAAAAAAAAGGGAAAGGAAAAAAAAACTAGGAAAAGGGAAAAGGGAGAAAAAGTGTGGCTTA